CCCTCGCGGGTGCAGGATGTATGGATTTTTTGCAAAATTTATGGATTTTTGAGGCTTTTTATACAGGTAAACGTCCGAAGAGGTTGACATGTATGGGACAACAAAATACAGACTTGTTGTTATTGAGTTTGTCAACACGAACCGCTACCTGAGAGGCACTACTAGCCCCTCCCCCGTCAGAGTGTCGGAGCAGGACGAGTCAGTGCAACGTCAGTCAAATGAGAGAGAGGGTGTGGGCGTTTGTTGCATTGGTGTGGTGGGGGGGKTTATGGGTAGAGTAGTTTATTCTTCCTGCAATACTTCATTATAGTTTTTTTTAAGACAAAGCTAATTGAAAGGGGTGCTGAGCAGAGTTACAACCAGGGATTACAAATAATTACTTTTTTTTCTTCTGCAGTTCGGTGCCCCCTCCAGCAGATGGCGCTCCAGGCAACCACCTAGTTCGCCTATGCCAAGAGCCGGCTCTGAGTATCTTTAATCATATTAGCTTTAATCTGCTATAAAACACCACAGTCAGATGAGCTCAAAGCTGATGGGAGAAAGTTGTTTTTATTTGTTTCAGTATGGGGGTTAGTGGGTTAATTGATATGCTGCAGTTTCTGAAGGAGACTCGTTATGTGTTTTTCTGGGGATGTCGACACTTGAAGTTATTTTTCCACATAAGAGCAGCAGATTTATTATGAATTTAAAGAAGAAGCAGAAACTGAATTGTTAAAACCATCAGAATGGTACTAAAGTAAGTAAAACTTAAAAAAATTACCACAAGAGTAGCTAAAAGTTAGAATTAATAACTGTTAAGTGTTTTGTGGACTGTGAGAGGGGTGCCTCATGGGATCAAGCTCGACGTTTTCACAGATAAAGTTAAAATAGTACCAAATATATAGAACTAACGAATACATTTAAACACACAATAAATACAAAAGAAACCCTAATCAGATTAAAAGCAGTGTGAARGTTGATTCAACCTTTTGTTTTTGTGTGTTATAGACAAACAAAAGAAAAAAGCACAGACAAGCAGGTTTTCACTTTGAGAATTATTTATTTTTTAATCCAAATCACAGTTTAATACTGGAGTGTTTACTAAAAACCAATATTTGGTTAAAAAGTGTTAGTTTCCCAGGAATTTACAGTAATAGGATTAAAATATAAATCAAAGGAGGTGTCACGTGATATTAAGTTGCAAGTCAAAAGACTGACTGCTATTGAGCTATTTTATTTCAAAATAGTTTAAAATTTTAGAGTGATTTATTCTTATAATCTTTATACGATGAGTAAATTATTCTGAATGATGCCATAATATAAACTTAAAAAAAATCCATCTATTCTTTTCTTCATATTCCACATTCTGGTYGTGGGGCAGCAGCTTGAGCAGGAAGACTTCGATTTCCACAGACACCTCTTCCAGCACTTTGGGTGGGACTTCCTCAGGGGTCTCCTCTCATTTGAACATGTCTGTTAAACCTTTTTGAGAGGCSTCCAGGAGGTGTCCTTACCAAATGAACCACCTCAGCTGACTCCTTGTGATGTGGAGGAGTAGCGGCTTAACTCTGTCGCTTCCAGATAACTAAACTTCTTGTTATATCTGTAAGGGAAAGTCCAGCTGTAAAAATATCCATCCATCCATTATCTATACCCACTYATTCCTTTCAGGGTCATGGGGGTCACTGGTGCCCATATCCAGCAGCCACAGTGCGAGGGGCGAGGTACACCCTGGACAGGTC